GTGGTATTTGATCCGGAAAAACAATAAAACCCGTGGGACCCACATATCAATTTCACACACAAAATAATAAAAAAAATTGTAAGACCCACGTGAGCCCCACATGTCATCCTCTTTCTCCACTCTTATCTCTATACTCTTCGTCCTCCAGTTCTGCGCGCGGATCGAGTCGGCTCGACGGCGGCACGTCGCTGCAGCGGCGCCGACAGCATCCTCATCAACGCCGGCGCCGACAGCACCGAGGAGTTGGACGCCATCCACTCCGACAAGGCCAAGGCGCTCCACCACACCTACCGCATCGGCGAGCTCATCACCACCGGCGCAAGGAGGAGCTCTCCCGCGATGTCCGGCCGCCTCTTCCGCTTCGCGCTGCCGCGTCCTCCGACCAGGTGATCGGCCTCCCCGCCGGCAAGCACATCTTCGTCTGCGCCAGCATCGAAGGGAAGCTGTGCATGCGAAGACAGCCCATGCATGGTAAGCTAAACAACTCCGTGTTAGCTCATGACGCAGTACCTGGACTTGTGCTCCCCGTGGGCGCCTACATCGACGTCAAGGGGCCACTCGGCCACGTCGAGTACACCGGCCGCGGCGAGTTCGTCATCAACGGCAAGCCACGGAACTCGCGGGCGCCGGCCGCGGGAGGAGAGGAGCCGCGGGCGGAGGTCGAGGGGGGCGACAATGGCGGCCTCCATCTCCCCCGTCGTCATCTCCGTAGGCAGGCCGTGCAGCACCGGCGTGCCGCCCGAAGCTCCTCGGCGTCGAGGCAGCCGCGGCGGAGTTGGTAGCAGCAGCGGCAGCGAGGATGGTGGTGGAGGCGGAGTTGGTAGTGGCAGCGGCAGCAAGGGATGTGGCGATGGCGGGAGCGGCGGCGGAGTCGGTCGTGGTGGCGCTGGAGAGAGAAGAGAGATGAAAGGGGATAGAGATGAAGAGAAGAATACGGAGGGAGAGAGGAGGAAGAAAGGAGACATGTGGAGTCCACGTGGGTCCCACCATTTTTTATTACTTGGTGAGAAACTGACATGTGGGTCCTACGGGTTTTATATCACTTGGGTTTTTTATTACTTTTCTATATCAAATTGTCACGTAAGCGCTATGTCAGTGCCACGTCGGATGAAGACTGAGTCAAATCAGCCACGTAGGTGCCACGTCAGCCAAAACCACTATCAAAACCGTCGAGGGATCTCGTTTGTCCGGTTTTCGTAAGTTGGGGGACGGGTCGTACCCGGTTTTGCGGTTGAGGGACGAAAATCAGACTGGACGACAAATAGAGGGACCTAAAGTGAACTTATTCCAATTTTTAGTGGTCACAGCCCATGCCCATTCACAGTCTTAACTTTCAGGCCTGTATTTTACGTCTAAACTGGCCCAAAACCCCTATTCCAACCAGGCAAGTTTAAGTAATATTTTGTTTTTTATTCAGAGACGCAAACACGCATACCACACACCCACGAATACACCCTTTTAACACACGCTCAAAAGGAGGGATGCTAGTGGCAAATTACTGAATTCCTATTTTCCGAGTGATAGCATAATTATTCATGGAATCATGGAGCTATGATTTAGATTCTGTTGGGTTAAGTCGTGTAACCATGAACAGTCGTAGTTGCCACAAGTTCTCTAGTTTAATGAATATTTTGCTCACAAGGAAACAAATGTTTTTTTTTTAATTTTGCATTCAGAGTAGCACCGATAATAATAAGAAGAAGGTAAGTGTAGTAAATACTAGTAATTAGTAAAATAGTCTTGCTATTTATTTATTTGGTTTTTTCTCTATTTTTCAATTACAGAGTAGATGCATACGTACACACACCACCACATATATATATATATATATATATATATATACATATATATATATATATACATATATATATATATATATATACATATATATATATATACATACAGCACCACACTCGTCTTGCACACCATTTATACTTTCACAACTCAAAAGTTGCAATTTTTAGTTTTGTTTGATTTGTGTTATATTGATTAGCTTAGATGTGTTTTATGCTTCATTTTAGCTTTATTTTGTCTTTTGTTGGCAAGTGTCAACATCAAAATAGTTCCAAGATAGAAGGTGACCGAAGAAAAATGATTGAGGGATAAGAAAAAAAATTGCCACTTGACGAATAGATGATCCTTAGTAAAATGATCTTACATACTTTACTACAAATTTAAAATATAATGTGCCAATTATATTTCATGTTTTTGTAAATGTTATCGGCTTGTTTATTTTGATCGTATTTAAATTTTGGTATAAAAGCATCAACATATCCAGTGGCAGCTCCAGAATTTTTGGGGTGGTCCTACTTCACGCTCCAAAATTTTAAAACACCAAAAAAACTCAATGTACATCTACATAATTTTCTTAAATACTTCACAAAAACTAGCATTTCAGTTTAAAAATTACAAACATACAACACAAATAGTCTAATAGGCCTTGCCTATATAGTGTATTTGGGTTGAATTTGGATAGAGAGGTCATTCTGGACCAAAATTGAGACCACCCCCTACAGCCCATGAACATATATTTCCTCTAAAAAGTCACCTCCACTACTAACTCCATGTTTTATGTGAAAAGGAAAAATGACATTGTAAGACCAGAGGGCTCACATGTCAACCTCCCTACCACTAACTCTTTGCTTTTCGTGGGATGAAAAAAGAACATTGTAGGATCAGAGGGCCCATACAACTATATAAAGAAATTAAGAAAATTAAGAGATGATACAGGTAGAAAATGATTGTGATAATGGGTTAAAGATATTTTTCTTTCATTATAACCCCATTGCAATGCATGGGTAATGCTAGTAAATGCTAAAAGCCATTGTGTTTTTTTAAAAAAAAAGAATTTAAATCTACATAACGGGTTTTCTGAGATCAAAATGTTTGTATTCTCTTATTTAAGCACGGTTTTACACGTTACTCCCTCCATCCACAAGAGTAGACATACTATTTCATATTTGAGTTTTTCCAAATAAATTGTTCCTATTTGTAATCTCTATACATGCAAGATTTAAACGGAGAGATAAATTAAATGTTGATTCAGAACCAGATGAGCCATCTTAATACTCATTAGTTGTATGCGTGCATACACTTGTTGATCTTTGTTACATGCAAGATGAATTAATTTCTTTTTTATCTTGATGAGAAAAGTAATATGTATAACTTTTGTGGAGGGAGTGAATACAAACCTATGCGGGTCCAAAAAAAGTGCCAAAGCTGCCAATGTTGTACTCCATCTGTATTTTAATGTATGACGCCATTGACTTTTCGACCAATGTTTAACCATTCATTTTATTCAAAATTCTTGTGCAAATATGAAAATATTTATATCATGCTTAAAGAACATTTCATGACGAATCAAGTCACAATAAAGTAAATTATAGTTGCATAAATTTTTTGAATAAGACGAATGGTCAAACGTTGGACAAAAAGTCAACGGCGTCATACATTAAAGGCAAAATTTGCTACAGGACACTCAAAAAACGTGTAATTAGCTGTGGGACACCACAAAAACGTGTATTTGCTATAGGACACCACGAAAAACTAGTAATTAGCTGCTGGACACCCGCGGGATTATTTTATTATATCCGAAGAAATTGGAGAGAGAAACAATTGTGTAAGTACGGTTCTACCCTTCGATTTTTTTTCTTTTTGTTTTTCTCAATCCTTCTCTACTCCTTTTTATTTTTCTTTCTCTTCTTCTTCCTCCCGTCATCTTCTTCTCTGCCTCTTTCCAGGGAACCGAGAGGAGGTAGAGAATGGCGCCGGTGCTCTGGTGGCTGGGAGACGACGATGCCGGCGGCGGAGTATGTTCCCGAGTGCGGCGCAACAAGGGAGGGTGGTAGTAGGTTGAGGGAGTGAGGGAAATGACCAGAACGGCGAGTACAAGGCCGTGAACCGGGAGGAGGGAGAGGTTGGGGGATGGTTCAAAGTGGTGGCAAAGTGAAAGGGGAAATGGATGAAATGGGTTCTCCTCGGCGAGGCGAGGCTAATGGTGAGAGGTTATGGCCGGCGGGGCTCCGAGGAAGGAGATCGACCGGCGGCTGGCTTGACACGGCATGAGAAGAGAGAGAGAGAGAGAGAGAGAGAGTTTTGTGTGGAGAAAAGTGGAGCTCTGTCCATGGATTGGTCGATGGCGGCGGCGCTCACACGTGGTGGCCGTGGTATGGTTGGGCGGCGGAGGAGGAACGGCACGGCAAGGCATCGACGCTTTGGACTGCGGCGACGGCGGCTCAAACCACGGCGACGACAGTGGCCGCCTCCTGCTCGCGCTCCACGCCGCCGGCCTCGCGCTCCCTCCCTTGCCGTCGACAACCTCGCCGGCGGCTGCTCCCTGCTATTTTTTTGTGTGTGTGTGATTTCAGGTGGAGGAAGATGGAGCCAGGGGCAATCTTGCCATTTCAAAAAAATTCTTGCCTCTTTTGATCCAGATATTATAAAATATTGTCTCCGGTGTCCTATAGCCAATTACATAATTTTTATAGTGTCCATCAGCCGTGTCTCGTTTTTTAGTGTCTCACAGCTAGTTACACGTTTTTTAAGTGTCCTGTAGCAAATTTTGCCTACATTAAAACATGGAGGTAGTAGCTCTTAATTTATTGCATGCGTGATTAAGTTTGGGATTCAGTATTTGTGTGCAAAAAAGGTGTTTGAATGTTTTTTTCCTTTACTACTTTAAAGTGGAGTTGTCCGTCCTCCACTCTCGCATTAAAAACAGAAAATTCACCTGGATAAAAACAGAAAAATGCAGCATATACATTACTAGCATTAGGGGGACAAGGGGGATGAAGAACCAATGGCTAATTAAGATTTATTGTACCATCTTTTACAGTCCACAAATATCCACTGAACGTTTCAAATCATTGACTATCATTGACTACCTGAGGTCATATATTTCCTAGGATTTTCACTTCTAAACTCCCAATACAGGCCAGTTTCCAAACAACCGATGCTAGTTTTACAGGAAAAGAAGCGCAATCAGATCACACGCACACATATAACAATGTACAGTCTCACCTTGGGTTTTCACTCTTCTGGAGATGCAGTTCTTCACTGCTAGCACATACACAACTCATAATCTTAGCAGCTAGCACAAAAAAAGCCCAGGACCACCTTGTACTTTTCTGGTGGCCTGAGTGAGATTTCATCAGCCTGTACACATGTGTGGATCACAAGGCTCTAGTGCTGTACCAAAGCATGAGCTGATGAGCAAACAAACAAAACAACACAACAATCTACACTACTAGTACTACCTCACATGCACTCCAGGGGCTCTTGGCTCTTCCTCCATGGATGGAACCATCACAGGATCCCATCCAAAGCTGCTACACAGTACTGATGGTACACACCTTGGGAGGAGTCACAAGAGCTGAAGCTACAAATGGCTGCATTCACCTAACATGGAGGAGAAACATCCAACCTAATCGATGCAGTAATACCAATACAACATTAGCATGATACAAGATGTTCAGGATCCTAGGTAGGTCATTAATTCGTTGGCACCTCGATCGGATGTGCTTCTAAGATCAGTGATTAGTGATCCTAGGTAGGTAGGTTACAAATTCTCATGGCACTGTCAAGGCATGTGACTCGTGGGAACAGTTACAGGTGGATGAGGCCCATGATCAGAAGGTGCACAGTTCTTGGATCAACTCTTCCATTGTAGGTCTATGATCTGGATTTTCACTGGTGCAGGCTGATGCGATCTTCGCCAGCTTAGCTGCTTCAGCTGCCGAGTAACATCCTCTTAGGTTACCGTCGATGAGATCCTCGTCGTTGCTGGACTCAAGGGGCAGCTGCATAATCTTGCTTTTACCGGTCAGTATCTGAAATACGATTACCCCAAATGCATAAACATCACTCTTCTCCGAGAACCGGCCGGTGGTAGTGTACTCTGGGGCGAGGTATCCCATGGCAGCGCTCGCTTTGAGGGTCGAGAAAACCAGGTCATCGACAAGGAGCTTGTGCAGGCCAGAACCAGATATTAGAGGCCTGTAGGTGTAGTCCACCAGAACTTTGTCTGCCGATATGTTCTGGTGAACAAGAGGGGGCTTGTTTGCTCTAGTGCTGTGCAAATACTCGATTCCTGAAAAAAGAAATTTGACCATCAGTTTATTGCACAAAAAAACATTATTGACCATCAGTTTATTGCAAGTTGTTAAAATTTCCGTGACGAAAAAATTACAATTGCGACAGAATCTGAGATAAAATTGTCAAGTTTCCACAAATTTAGACATGGCACTATCTACAGCAGGCAGAACCCTTTCAGAGCATAGACAGCTCAGAGAAAATGTAACCAGTGGTGCACATCACAGGTTTCGGCAAAACACGTGAAGAACCAGGTAACCAGCACAGACACAGTACAAGCATCAATAAATTGGACTTTTCTTGCAGGGGCATGCATCACATGTAGTACACACTAGGAAAATGTTGCAAGATGAACCATAATGTTGCACACATACCATGTTGTTTTTAGACAAAGTGACAACTAGCTAGCACCAAGAACCTAGAAGCATCATTTCGTGCATTTCTCTTTTATGGACAGTGTGAATGCAAAAGGAGTTGGTCATTAGCACCATCCACTACAGCAGTGATAACTGATAATTAGACAGAGACAGGGGATACAGCTCCACTATACCTTTAGCAATGCCCCTGATGATGGAAATCCTCGTGGACCATTCAAGAACGCGGCCATTGCTGCGAGCGACATCGTCGGCGTCGATGTCCAAGAACTGCGACAAGCTCCCGTTCGGCACGAAGTCGTAGACGAGGAAGCACTCGCCCCTCGCTCTGGAGCAGCAGAATCCCCTCAGGCCAACAATGTTCTCGTGCTGCAGCTCTGCGAGCAGCTTCAGCCCCTTGAGGAACTCGGCCTCCTCTTGCTTGCAGCAGGTCTTGCCTAGCCGCTTGACGACGACGGATGTCCCATCTCGCAATGTGCCCCTGTACGTGGCCGCGAAGTTGCCGTTCTTCCCCAAAATGTTCAGCTCCGAGAAGTACTGCGTCGCCGACTCCACATCCTCCATGTTGAACCTGAAGCTCTGAGCCACCTCTTGGGAGAACCCAATGCCGCCCCTCCCATCGGCCAATGGATCCCAACCATTCGAGTACTCGAGGCTCACAAGCGTGGATGAGGCGCTCTTGCGAAACGAGTCCTTACCAGCAGCGTCTGTACTACACCGGCCACCAACAGCCGCCGGCGAGCCTGCAACAACCCGTTGCTTGCGCCACCGGTACCACGATAACGCGAACATGCCAGCCCCGGTCACCGCGAGAAGAATTACGGCCACGACAACGACAGCCGCGAGCGCCTTCGTCGATGGCGGGCAGTGAGTTCCAGTGCAATGGCCATGGCCATCGGAGGAGGACCCCGGTGTGATCTGCGGCGATATGCCGGCGCTGAACGGCTGGGGCATGTCGGGGCTGATGAGGTCGGCCGGAGTGCACGGCCGCAGCGCGGGCAGGCCGGTGCCGCACAGATCGGTGTTGTTTGCATACTGGAATCCACCCTGCAGCTTCGCCAGTTCTTGGTGAAGCAACACACAAATCAATCAATCAAACCCCCAATTAGCTAGCCAGAGCTGAAGCTGACACCAATCGCGCTCGAGTTAGTTGATGGATTACCGGAGGGCACGCTGCCGGTGAGGGTGTTGTTCCTGACGTCGAGGGCGAGGAGGCGGGGCAGCAGGGCCAGCCTGACCGGGATGGAGCCGAAGAGGTTGTTGAAGCTCAAGTCCAGGCGCACCAGCTGGGGCAGGTCGCCGAGGCTCGCCGGGATGGCGCCGCTGAGGTGGTTGGACTGCAGCTCCAGCACGGTGAGCCTCTTCAAGAGCCCCAGCTGCGTGGGGACTCCCCCGGTGAGCTGGTTGTAGCAGAGCTGCACCACTGCACACCACCACCACCATCAGCATTGATTCATGTCTCAGTCTCACAAATTATTCAGCTGCAACTACTACTATACTAATTATTCAGTGCTCCATTGAAGTAGCAGCTGTTCTAAGGTATCACAGCTACACAGGACGGTCATGGCGGCGCAAGAACAGTGTCCCGGAAGAGGGACAAACAGACACAGAATGCGGCGAGTGAGTGAAGCAAAGCTCAAGCGCCAAATCCGAACGCAAATGATAGGTATCGGCCAAGAAAACGTTGCAATCGGGAAGAGGCGAGCTGGGGCTGCGTCGATGTATTATTGGCGCGACAAAATCCTGCCAAGAAAATCCCATATTTTGGTAGGTAACCATTTTGGAGTGGACAAACGCCAAGAAGACCAAAATAAACAAAAACGAAGAAGTCTAATCTGTCCAACCGATGCAACAATCCGCCCGATCCTGGACTCCGCACATGGCGAGGCGGCGACGCGAGGAAGAAGCTTCCAAGAAAGAGATAGCGCAGCCAAAGAACGCACCCATGTTGGCATTGGCCGGCATGGCAGGAAGGAGAAGAAGAGGAGAGGGTAAACTGACCTTGCAGGGAGGGCATGGCGGCGATCTCGGGCGGGATGGGCCCGGAGAAGTTGTTGACGTTGAGGTAGAGGTCGGTGAGGCGGGAGAGGGCGGCGAGCTCGCGGGGGAGCGCGCCGGTGAGGCGGTTGTAGTGGAGGTACAGCCCCGTGAGCGCCGTGAGCCCGGCGACGGCGGGCGGGAGCGTCCCGGCGAGCCCTTTCCCCTGCAGCGAGACGTTGGCGACGGCCCCCGTGGCGCCGTCGCACGCCACGCCCTCGAACCCGCCGCCACCTTCGCGCCCGCACGGGTCCCTCCCCGGCGCCCACGACGGCAGCAGCCTCCCCGTGGGGTCCAGCCCCGCCGCCAGGTCCAGCAGCGCCCGCACCTCCCCCGCGCCCGCCGCGCCCGCCGCGCCCGCGCCGGCCAGGACGAGGACGACGACGACAATGGCCGCGGCCGCGACGAGGCGAGATGCCGCCATTGGAGGGAGACAAGAGCGTGCAGGCGTGGGCGGGGTGAGGCGTTCGAGGAGAGAGTGGATGCGTCAGAGTGTAGTAGTAGTGGGGGGAGGAGTAATAACGTGGATGGCACCCGAGAGAGGCGGTCGGGGGGTGGGGCCCACGTGTCAGTTGGTGTGGGGTGCGATGATGGTACTAGTGGTGTAGTACTACCTGCGACTGCCAAACCGGCCGATACGGTGCATAAACCGTAGAGATACGCACGAACGATAATGCACGATGTCAGTCATACTCATACAGTAGGGCACCCTCGACTCAACGACACTGCTCTCTCTCTCTCTCTCCGTCCCATCATATAATAATATAATAATCTGAACATAATATTTTATAACAGAGGTGGTACCACCTACTTAATTTACTCTATAGATCGAGTTTAAGCTGATACGGGTGCCTAAGTTTGTATCGAGGCTTTAGATCGAGTTTAAACTGATACGGATGCCTAACTTTGTATTGAGGTGGTGCATACATAGTGAAAATAGATGATGTATAGCTTAAAAAAATTTTTGACCGGGTTCCTGGGCACCCCCTAACATATACTAGCTCCGTCCCTGATTCGTTCAATTCTAAGTTGTTATATTATGAGACGTAGGGAGTAGTTCAGTACTTCCTTCGTTGCTGGGATGAGTTAAATCATACTATATACAGTAAAGAGTAGTATTTTAGAATGAAGGTTTTAATTATATAAAAAAAAGCGTTCGATGTAATCTTACAATGTGCTTTTTACATTAGCTTATTAGGGCATTCATAACCCAATGATTAGGATGGTGTTCATAGCATTAAATAAGTTGCCACCTAGAAAAAAAATAATGTGGTAAATGAATAAATGAGGAAAGAGGAGGAAACCATGTCTTGCACTACACAACATCCAAGACATCATGTGAGATAAGTAGCATTAAATTGAAGTATGGAATAGTAGTGTTTGCATTGGAAGATTAGTGTCTAGTACTAGTCTCTCGATGATGTGGAGTTTATGGAAACCATGTCTAATGTTATGGGTTGGGACTGCCCTTAAAACTAATAATCGGAAAAAGAATATTTCATATTCACCGATTTAACTATTTACTATTCCTTTGATCTTAGGATATTAAAATATGAAATAGAATTAAATAAGACATATTCTGGTATAATAAGAGCAATTTTACGGTTCTTGAGGAGATACCATGAGGTACAAAAAGTTTAGTGTAAAATTTGGTACCTCGTAATACCTAGGTACCAAGAGGTATCAAATTTACAATAGAAAAAGTGGTACCTCATGGTATGTCTTTAAATACTGTAAAATAGATTGTATAATAAAATTCGTACCAGGTACTAAGGACTTCCTAGTTTGGCTTTTTCCCTGACTTATTAGGGAATAAAAATAAATTTGTACATAAAACTTTTATATGTGTGTTCTTAGTGACTTAAAAGACAATGCTGAAAAAGAAACTACATTAAAAATATCTCAAAATTAAGTTTAAAAATTTAAATTTTGATTTATTCTTTGACTGTTTAGGCTATCCGATAGGAGCCTAAACATACTCGTCCTGCCTCTCTCGTTTCGCACCTGACGACGCTGTACCACGTACGTGCACGTACTCCACTTACCTAGGAATGTCACAATGCTGCGGCCGGCTGGACGGCCAACGTATGCGCGGAGACGACGTACGTACGGCAAGAGGGGTAGCACACACGTACACGTACGCCCCCTCGCGCTAATCACGACTTGGCCTTTGATCTGTTCCCAAATAACTGTAGTAGTATAGTACCAGGATTTATTACGATCGATCGATACAACTGGAAAATACTTCATCCATATAATATAACTTCGAGGCACACCAGCAACATAATGTGACATGATAGTGCACCGGTTGTTCAAGGGGGCTCACTACATGCCAAAACGCTTCCCTGCAATTTCCACCGATTATTATTACTTGTGAAAATTGGCTACAGAATAGGGGTGTAAGCGGCTAACCCACGAAACCCATTTATAGGCTAAAATAACCCGCGAACCCGTTTATTTGGACCTATAAGTGGGTTCGCGGCTGACCCACTTACACCCCTACTACAGAACAATAAAAAATATATGGTTTTTGCTAGCAGACACTTGAATTTATATAAGGACATTAAAAAAAATAGTAATTTGCCACATGACATCGTGAACAGTAAAATACAATATTCACTTAGTTGGGAAGAGAAAAACCACGTCAAATAACCATTTTACCCTAATATTCTTCTCCCTATTTTCCTCCTCAACGGGTTGTATCCGCGGAGCTACTCGGCCCTCCGCTTGTGGTGGAGGGTCATCAGGCGGCGCACAGAGCTGAAGCAGCAGTGGTGGTAGCAAAGCGCCCCCCCCTTTTGTCGTTACCCACTGGCGGTAGCACTAGTAATGACGCTGGATCTGCTACTCCTCGTCTCCACTTTGTGATGTTCTCAAAGTCCGCCTACATCCGCATCTTCTCACTGCCGTTGCCGGTGGTCCATGGCCTATCGGAGGGCACCGAGTCGACGGTAAACGTCCTATCGGAGAAGGTTGACCTCCTTAAGAAGGTGTTCGACAGCCTCACTATGCCTCACTATGTCCTTCACTGCCTTTCTCGCTGCCAGAGTCTGGGTAGTTGGACAAGGAGTGAGGACCAAATCCTTTCAGCAAGAAGCCCGACTGAGTCATCATCAACTCTGCCCATGGTTGGGGATCACCCATCACCAGTGAACACCACGCATCAACTTCTCCATCTTGTTAGTATCGTCGCCTTCTTCGGCCCACACTCGCATAGGGTCAAACAAGCTACCCCGTGGGAAATAAGTTTGGTTCTAGGGGCAAGTTGTCATTTTATAAAAATTCTCTCGCAAATAACATGAAATCATAAAATAATATGTGCAGTGTCATGTGTAAATTTTGCCTAATTTAATAATGGGTGGTTCAAACTACTCCATAAATACTTTTATGTACAAAATTTAGATACCAGGAATGCTAATATATCTTCTCAAGAAAAAAAGAATGCTAATATATACGGACTGATCAGGGTGTATCAGATACTGTCGACGTTTGATGTCGCGATTCCAGTATTTGAATAGTATGGGGATCATTGGTACTAGGATATGTGCGAGACTGAGGTAAAAGAGATGGGGACGAGGATTTTTATACAGGTTCGGGCCCCTGAGTTGTCAGGTAATAACGCTACATCATGTTGGCCGAAGCCGGTTGTTGCTCTTATTCATCATAATCACACCAGTACAATATTTGGGGTAGCCTATCTAACTGTTGTCGACATGGTGGTCTGAAGGTCTGACTCGTAATCGACAACAGGGTAGTCTTCCTCCTCGAATCCGTGCCCGGCGAGATTAGAGACAGCGCAATGTCTCTCCTATCGGTATCCGGAGATACCGTAGGGGACTAGCCGTGCCTATCTCTGAAGTCGATATCCGGCGTCTTGTCTTGGCGTATGTTGGCTTGTATGTTGTGTCTTCTGTTGTTTCGTCTATGTTGTCCCCTCTCCTCCTAGGGGGCCTTGTATTTATACTCATAAGTGTCCCCTTGTCCAAGTAGAACTAGAGAAACCAATATGGATACAATCCGAGTAGTCCTTGTCGTTTCTATGTAGAACTCTGGTTGTCTTTCCTTATCCGGAACTTCTCCTATATCCGCAGGTTGTTTCCGTATAGGACATGGTATGTGGTGGGTCCTGCCGAGATTTAGGCAACTACTATTAGGTATGTGGTATCCATAACCCTGACAGATACTATTTATATTTAAACTACGATTGCTCTTTTTTTAAAATAAAAAATAAAATCCTTAAAAGGATATGTTGCATCCTAAACATAATCATTAAGATTTAGTATATTGATCATACCTTAATCATTTAAAAATTATTAATGGTTAGTTGAAATCGATGTATATTGTTCGTGTTATTGTCTAGCTGAGCAAATTTTAGAAAGAACCAAAGTTTTGTTCTGATGTAACATAATGACTCTGGGTTTAGCATTTATTTTCGTCTTGCGTCAATTACTATATGTACTAGTACTAGTACATCTTTAAAGGATCAGTTTATTGTTTCAAAAATTTAAGGTGCCATAATGCCACATAGATAAAATAGTCACTTGTGATTTGGCCGGTACTACCTGGCCGTAGAGCGAGCTAGGTCCATGCCCCCGATCAGATGGTCTCCGTACTCGCTCCTTCCGTTCTAAAATAACTTTATTTTTTATATATTTCACTTATATCGATATAAAACTAAAAAAACTAAAATACCATTTATTTTATCAAATCCTAGTATTATTATTTCTCATTTATTTAGTTTCAACGTATTTATCTCTACTTTCGCAAACTCCGTCGTATGGTAACAGAATGAGTACTTAAAATGATAATGTTTATTTTGGGATAAATAACAAGGTGAAATATGAAGTTATGTTGGACTGATCAGTGAGTACGTTTTTATCACTTAGGGTAAGTTTCCGTCTGGACCTGATCAGCAGCACAACAATTAAGCCAGGTTGGAAGTGATCTCACATTGAGATAGCTGTTGCTCACCTGGCGTTAAGTTGCTTTGGACAGTAACAAATTAAATTAAGCCTCTCTAGTCTATGTCCGGGAACCAGATGCTCTAAGCCATATGCTTCCACTTTGCTTGCTTCTCCAGCTTTTTCTCTTCTTAATTGCCTGCCTAGCCCCTGGATTGATTGATTAATTACCAAAGTAGAAGACGGGATCACGTGGAATGGCATGGTTACTTAATTAATTAACTATAGCTCTCAGAGGATTGGATTGATCTCATGATCTGCCCTGGTAGTTTCAGTTGACAGTTTGTCAGTTTTGTTAATTTGGCGAGACAGATTACCTACGTGCTACTGCGACGGTGATAGAAGGGATCAATCTCATTTAGAGACAAAATAAAGGTTCGTACTGCATACTTAGGGAAGAGTTCCTTTACGATTGGCGTTTGGTTATCTAGGTAAATTAGTAATACCATTGAGGCTACCTGTTTGGCATCTCTTGTCGGTGAGAAACTAGCTAGCTGAAGTGGAATTATGATTTATAACAGTAATTCTAGTTGAAT